GTTCGTAAAGGAGACTTTTCGAACGAGTTTCGGAAAACTGCTTTTTCGCCCGAGGAAGTACCAGCCTCCCAAAACCACCCAAGGGCGGAAAAATTAATTTTCTTACTATTTTTTATTCGGATCCTTTCTTCCAACTAACAATTCTATCAACAATTTTTTAATTTTAAATACAATAACAAATACTACAAGGTCTTGGATTAGTAAAGTAATATACTAGCTCTTAAAATGACAATTTCATTCAAGAGTACAATTAAATTAAATAGTATCCAACTCTAGAAAATTGTAACAACGTAGACTAATTTTTTATTTCAATTATTACTTCGATTTAATGAAATTGATACTTAAAACAATTTTTTTCAATAAACTATTTGATCTATTAAAATCCAAAAATATCGATTATTTTGTTATCTTATACCATAATTATTTTAAATATTCAACATTTTCACATTCAACCACTCTTTGTGAGTCTCGTCCAATCACAGAACGAATAAAATGGCTTCAGTCACGTGACAATCAATCTTTTAAGATGGGATAGTTCTTCAAAATAACCCAAAACCTTTTAAAATCCTAGTTATGTCCCGAACCAAGAGGTACCATAAACCTGGTAGATCTCAAATATAACGTTTCTACTGAAATTTTTGTGAGCTAATATATTGCTGACCTTAAATTTTAGAAACCTTTCTGAAACGTTGTATTTGAGGTCCAACGAGATTTGTGATATCTTATTGTTACTGACGTACACATGTTTTTAAAATATTTTATAACTGTTTTCAAGCTTATTTTGCTTCAAAATGCACGTTTCTGAAACCCTTTGAAAACGACCAATGTTGCGTGGCTAATGAAAACTTTATTTATATTACGATGAACACAAACCTCCATCAAATAGTTATAGAGCGAGCCAAGCGGATGATAGGCGGTGACGAGCAGGAGTTGAGTACAACTTGAGCGACTAGTCATGTCGCTACCAATGTAGCCCAGTATGTTGTCGTGTCGACTGAGCAACAGTTTAGAGTAGAACTCGGTTTCACGGGCCCACATGGCCTCGTCACGCGAGGGGTAAATTTTAACGGCAACGTTGACACCCTGGTAGATACCCCGCCAGATCTCGCGGCCGAAACTGCCACCACCCCGGCTTTTGCTCAAACACTCGACCAGTTCCACCTGCTTCCCTAGAGTACGCTGAACCAGCAGTGGTAGGCCAGAGCCAGAGCCACTCGTCAAGCTTTGGCCCTCCAGATATTCCTGTGCACAATAGGAGGAGATCCATTAATTTTCATACAAGCCATATACCATATAATTTGTACTTATTTATAATTAATCTATTTTTTTTTTAGCCAGGAAAGTAGTTCTCAATTAATTCGTATGCAAAGCTTCCTTCAACTCTTAAATAAAATCATTTTATGAATTGTCTACCTTAACGATAAAATCTTTCAAAAAGTTAATATTATACGTTACAATTTAATCTAATTCAGGAAAAAAAATTTTACCTTTAGTGTACTATCACCAGCAGCTGTAGCTCTAAGCTCATGTGAACAACTCGCGTTGCCACCAGTCGAACCAGCGGAAAAGGCAAGTAATGGTGGGTCCATGCCTGGCTCAATGAGTTTTTTGCAGCGCCGATTTGCCAGAAAAGTTGTCTTTGAGTTATCGCGACTATTGTTCTTTCGATTCCTATAGTAAAGATAAATTCCGAAAAATACGAGGATCAATATAACGATAGGTCCGAGAACTATGAGTGTGATTTTGAGCGCGTTGTTTATGCCGGTTTCATCTGTAAATAGTTGAAATAATGATTACTTACGTTGCTGTAAAGTGATTAAAATTTTTTAACAAATGATAAAATTACTAATAATCGGGTCCTGGAGTACGGGAAATGAACCGACGTTACATAAATTCTCATGGCAGCACTCGGTGTTAAACGGATTAACAGCGGTAGGTCTGTTGTTCGAGTCTTAATTCTCGCGTGTATCATAAGTT